ATTAAACTATGAGTATAAGAGTAGCGTTAATGTCATAGCCGCATAGATGATGCGTTGGCGCCTACGCTGTTTAAATTAATACTCTCTCTCTCATTCTCTTAGTCTAGTGGCATTAAATCGACAACAAAAAATTAATATGATATCCTTATGATTTGACATTATTAAGGAAATGGATGAAAATGCCGAAGTAGTTGTGATCAGGTTAGTCTTAAAATCAGTCAATAGAAAACAGATCTCCATGTTATACTTTATAAAGAATTAAAAAGGAAAAGGCATAATCTATGCACCAGGTGCAGCAAAATGAATCGGCAAGCTGTTAGTTTTCCAAAAAATCTAAATACAAAGCTAACTTCTAAGCAGAGCTATAAAAATATTTGTTACAAAACCCTTAATTATGCCGATACTAATGCACGAGTCTGAGGATTGGATGCTAACACTAAAGGAGGAAAATAAACTCTTTATAGCGAAACTACAGAAGTTTTTTTTTATATCATTTGCACTGACCGCTATGTTACAGTGCATTCAACCAGACAGTAAAGTACGCTGGTTCGATTCGAGCCTAAAATCTGGGATGACTTATTTTTCTAGTAAACGTTTCTTTACATATAAAATCAAGCAACTTGGTGCTAAGAATAAAAATGTGATAAAATTACATTCTTAAAATACTCTAAAAGACTCCTGCAATAATCAAAAGCATTGCTGGAAACGAAAGGACGGGTTCACTTTAGAAGAACTAAAGTAATGCCCAATATTATTGGGGAAATAAAAACCTGACTGACTAGGACACATGGAGAGAATGGGGATCGAGTCCCTTAAAGAGAGTACATAAATATTATTAGCCCATTCTGGCTACATAGTAATATAGAGCTATTGATGTTGGCCGAGAACCAGGCCGACCATGTCTTATTTTCCTAATCTTTATCTAAGACCTTCCAAACTGCCTTGAACATCAAATAGGTTTCTCCTAACGGCTCTGTGAAATAAAGCGCTATTTTCTTCTTTAAATTACATCTATTTATTTCTTGATAAATACTAAGTCGTCGAGTGGAGACCGCGTAACGTGGTGTAGGACGCCCCCTAGCTAGATGGACCGACGATTTGAAGAGGGCGGCGGGGTCTGACTGGATGCGGAAGATGGAAAACCGCGTGTTGTGGCGCAAATTGGGAGAGGCCTTTGTCCAGCAGTGGATTGAGATAGCCTGAGTTGATTGATGATTGAGTACTAAGTCACTTCATCTCTTTAGCTATCACAAAGACAACCATACTATATTACGCTCATTTCTAGAAAGCCTTCTCCCAAAATATGAGAGAAGCAAAGGCATGCCAGCCAACCGTTGGATCTAGGGATAAATATGCAAGAAGGATGGTAAGATAATCCTGTAACTCGAGCTTTAGGCCTCAACCCCATAGGCGCCTCCTAATATCATTATAGACCGATAATAAATGCGCCTATGTGGGGAAAGCTTTACAGTGGGGTCATTTCTCCAGTTGTTCGCACTGGGGAGAGATTAAAAGCGACTGAACTTCGTCCGGTAGTTCGCCCGAAGTATCGATGGAAGGACGAATTTGCCAAAGCTCTAGAGAGAACTAAATATGCACGAATGCTCGAAACTTCGGAAGTAACTGGAGACATGAGCAAATGGCGTACTACTTTGACATCGTAATATCGGAGACCAAAATCCCTTCGGGTCACTGGACCAGCGCTGCAAGTAAATCAATAAAAGACAAAAGTGCAGTTTCTTTACTTACAAGCGCAATAGAAATGGTTATTATTAATTCAAAGTTTGTATTAAACCCTTTTTTTAATGGACACCCAATATTGAATACGGCCGAAGTGACTTTAATTACTTAACGATATATTTGATATGATATGTACGTTGAGCATCATTTTAAAGTATCATTTCATTGAATAGTCGAACACATCATGTTATAAACGATACTAAGAATTGGATACAAAATTAACTATCCGTACTCACATACGGTATTACTCCGTAGATTTACTCTATAATCCGAGTAAAAAAACTTAAGACAAAAAATAAAAACCAACCTCATGAAAAAAAACCACTAAAAGTAAGAAAGAATGCAAATTCTTTACTTATATCTTAATTAAATTTACATTTAAAGTCAAATAAACATTTTGAGTCAGTGTCGAAAATCAACGCCTCGCGTCGTAGGAACGGGCCACGAGAATTTTTACCTGAGGGTGGCCATTCTAACTAGCGACGGATCCTGGCCGGTGATGGTATCCTTCTGTGTGGAGGTCATCTCGTAGAAGAAGGCGGCGGAGAGAGTCCGCAAGGAACAGGCCCACGAGAACTCTCTTGAACGGGGAGGACTTATCGACGGCGCCGGAGCCGTCAACTAGCGGGACTTTCTGCGACTGCCAGGGAGGGAGTGCTTCGCGGCACCATCGCTAGGGGGTAGGAAACCAGGCGTGATGATCGGCGACTCATAATTGGATCCCGCAGTTACGCCTGGATGGCGGTCGGAGAGTTGGTTTACCTGGTAGGTGCGGAAGCAGGTCGGCTGGCTCGCTGCTCGGACCGCGTTTTGTGAGCCATGCTGTGAACGGAGAAGCCCAGGCTCGGCTGAAGCGGAGCGAGTCGGGCTGCTGGTGGGATGCGGGGTGGTTTGACGTCTGACGTTTGCGTGAGCGCACGTCAAAGTATACCTGCACCGACGAGTAACCCTCGAGTCGCTCGCCGCTGGCCGAATGCAGCACACCTACATCGCGGGGGTATGTTAATAGCAAACAAACGCGGCGTTGGTCATTGTTCGTGGATATAATGCATTTTTTCTTCCCGTCATCGAAAAAAAAAGGTAATACCGTATGTGAGTACGGACCATAAGATTTACTATTTCTTATAATAATAATAAATATTTCTCACACTCACACCAATTAGCCTAGCCCCAAAGTAACGTATATAATAAATATACTGACACATGTATGATCATGACCAAGGTACAAATGCTCATATTCATCATACTAATAGTTGACCTCACCGGGATTCGAACTCGGGATACGAACACTTTGAAACCTACATACCACCCACGTATATACCACTCGGCCACGGAGGTCGGTGTCAATATAAATGTACCTTTGCCACCTCGTAAAGGATTCTGGTTCTGGGGTGATAATATTTAATTAGCGTACTCGTTTATTTATAACGATACACTATTCAATAAAATATTCTATTAGATTATATTTTTAACAAGGAAAATCGAAAATGATGCAACTATGATCTCATCTAATCTGTCGAACATAGCGACTTAAACAAACAAAGCATTATACAAGTGTATATTTTAATGGTGCAAAAATGTGATTAGTCCGAGTTTCACGCTCGATCAAATTCAAAGAAATGGACCCAGTATTCTCATTTTAAACGTCTTCTCTTTTTCTTAAACTTCATGGCAATTACAACATACGTAAACTGAGAATATTTACTTCCATAGCGTGCGCTTTTCAAAATTTTCGAGCAAAAATTTTTCGCATATTGCTTGCGTTGGGTCCGTGGCTAGTTCTCGGCGGACATTTTCTTCACGATTTAGGGATTTTTGTCCTCCGGACAATGGGGCCAATATTGTGAGGAATAAAGATTCAGGATTTTTTTTCCTGACAAATTGAAATTTATACTACTATTACTGACACAACACACAACCTCTTTGTTTCTTGTTAAGCATTTTACGACATTCATAACTTTGAACATTTACGGTCAATAACATAAGTTGTTGTTATAACAACATAAAACCAACTTAAGCTGAACATTTGTCATTTTTATTTATAAAAAAATCGTGATGTTACTAAGTAATAATAACCATGTTATAATATTTTACATTGAATTCAACTCTTTTATTTTAATCTTTACTATAAAGTTATCCACTAAAATACTACCAGCCTTTTTTTAAATAAGTAAGTTTATAATATATAAACGTATCAACTTACTTAAATGCAATTGATTTGCACTGGAAAACATAGACGATGAAATCTTATGCTGAGAAATGGAAAACTAAAATTACGTTCACTTCGCCTCATTTTTATTGTTACTTCTTTTTCTATTTTTTTATATTGAAAACAAAAATGTAATTAATAATTATCACTGATTTTATCAATAAGACACTGATTTTGCGCTATAATATCTATTGTTTTCGAGAAAACCGCTATGTATTAAACAATCAAGCTGTAGGAAAAAAACTAAGGATAATAATTCAAAAGAGTTTTAATCAATTTTGAATAAAAATAATGTACTTGTACATTTATCATTAATTAAGTCATTTCCCCATCTACATTCGTGTGTATATACAAATAAATTAATAAAGTTTTAATACGCATTTCAATGATAATAAAAAATACAATTTAAAGTTTAAAACAGCATATTATCATAATCGCACAAATGAAAAGCTAATTTGGCCCCGTATTTTCTAATTAGAGGGACGTGTTTATGGTGCCTAAAATCCCTTAATTCCCTCAATGCAATACGGTCCGACCTCGAAGTGAAGGTTCCAGTTTATGAACCAAAACAGGAAGTCATACTTACACTTTCCCTGATCAAATACGCAGTTGAAAACAATAATAACACATTGCTGGCGTACAGCGTAAATGCTACAAATGAAAATATAATGAAGGAGCGAAGAATACCTGTTAACGCCGATCTCAAGATTTGTTTTATTTATCTGATTCGACTCTCATGCTATCACTTACTGTGTAGTGTTGTTTCGGAGGATTCGTTTGTTTTGATTAATGCTAAGTGTTTATATCTTCAATGTGTCTTCAATGTGCAAATGCACTGTGACTGCGTCCGGCGGCGCCCTCGCATCGCGGCGCGTACTTGGAAACATAAATAACGCGTCTGTTGCAGCGGTGCGACAGTTTTAACTATTAGAAGTTACGATAAAAGCCCAAGATTGGACTCCCCGCCGGATGTCGCGGGATCATCGATATGCATCATATTAACACGAACGCAGTCAATTTTCTTTTGCGATGCTGCCGGCGGCGGCGGTGCTGCGGAAACGGGCCGTCCGCGCTGCTCCTCGCGCCGCGCGCCCATCAGATGCGATCGCAACTCATCCGTCCGACCTGCGACCGCGACCGCACCATTCTACTCGAGACCAGCGTACAAACCGCACGCGCCATATAACGCTCCCGACGCGAAACTTCACTCGCTCCCGACAAAACCGTGAATGAAGTGCTGTTTTGGAACATTTTGAAGAAACTTTTTGCTATATTCAGTTCCGCGATACGACTCGTCCACCTGACAGTTATTTGTTTTGTGTTGTTTATTTTTGTTTTGTGACTGCTCATATTGGAGGTGTTCAGTTTATTTGCAATACGTCCGTCTGTTTACGGTAAGTACGCATTGAACTTTAATGTATTTATATGAAAGCGGGTACTAGCTGATTTATGCGAGCGAGATGATCAAATCGAACTGCATTTTACCGATCGAAGGTCGCCGGTGCGTTTATCGAGCATTAGTTTCTGTGTCAAACATTGTTAGAGGTCCGCTTACTTATCGCTATTGTTATTTACAATAATCGCCAACCATTCGAATTGGATTATTTTTGTTTGGTCGTTCGTTGGTCAACAGCTCGATAGGTGGTATCAAGTATACAAAGAGCAATATTTAGCTTATTTTTTTTGCATTAAAATTATAGTAATTACAAATAGTAGTAAAACATAATTAATATATTCAACTTGAGACAAACTACGTTAAAGGTGTCAGTTACATCTTGTTCCTCTAATTGGCGAAAGCTATATTAACGACCCAGATATTTAATTATTATTTTGCGGTTATTGACAAATAGATCGTGAAAACCATTTATTGTATTCTGATCTTAATTTTAATAAACACATATTTTGAACGGAATAATTTTCTATTTATGTGTGTGTGTGTGTGTGTGTAATCGTTAATTCAAACTGGTTTTGTAAATTTTAATGTGTATTTAATGTCAATCTTAAATAATGTTATCAAACTTGCTAACACATACAATTCAGTTTAACAATAGAAAAAACAATCAGCTGAACATAATTATTACTAGCCAGCAACTAGCGTTGTAATAATTTGATTTTAGTTTATTTATTTAGGCCGTTGCAAAAGTCCGTGCGTTGAAGTCTTTTACGAGTGGTAGGTATCACAAAGCCTGATAAGAATAAAGAATAGAAACTAATTTGTTTTCGACTATTTATTTATTTTTATTAAAATTCAATACAACATTAAAATTTAATACACATGTAACTACTATCAAACACTGATAAGAATATATATTATTTATACGACCAAATCTGAGTTTACCGTTTACACACATCAAGTTAAGTCATCCTTTAACCCTTTTACTAATCAAAATTGACCTTTATTCAAGTATCTCACTTGAATCACAGATCAATTTATCGATAATAAAAAAATGTGCACTTGGTACTTCAATATAATGTGATAACTTATGTAAACATCGAATGGCTACAATCATTATTATTGATTACCTACTGGAATATTATTTATCTAGTAATGATTACACGACTACAGTAGATAGACAGTTTCTTAATTAAACATCCTTGGCATTTCGTACCGTGTAAAATCGATTTACGTGCAACGGTGCCCAACTAATGTTTTTTAATAAACAATATTGTAGCTACTCCATAAATAACCACTAGCCAACAATATAGTATACATTATTAGAGAATTGTTCTAACTTATGGTTTACTTGTTTTAACCCAAATTCAAAAGAAAGTCTTAAACTCAAAAAAAACTTGTAAAAGATTTCCATAATTTTACAACTGAAAAGTATAATAAGCTTCCAGGTAGAGTAATGATTACACCAATTAGCAATACGCAAGACCGTGTTATATATAATTATTATGAAAACACTTAATCATTAACCCTACAAAACACTATTAGTATTTTATTCCTCGCGCAATCTATTATGCACCTTAACCATGATTCTGTATTTACAATCTTTATATTTATGATTTTATTTATTTTTTAAGCATTTAACTGCTAGATGTTTAAATCTAAAGAAAAGTTTACTAGAAAAAAATCCACGCGGACCAGGCTTTTTCTTTAGATTTAAACATCTAGCAGTTAAATGCTTAAAAAATAAATAAAATCATAACTTTAATTGCTATTTCTTCTTTCAAATGTTTAATACTTGAAAAAGTATTCATTTGACATTGTGGGTTACCTACAATGCGAAGAGATGGCGCTGCCTTGCAGCTTAAGGCTAGGAAAATTTCGACGCGGCTAATAGGGCCGTGGTAGCATAATGGTCAGTGCATTCGCCCGGATAGCGAAGGATGCGGGTTCGTGTCCCGTCCGCTGCCTGGTCCGCGTGGATTTTTTTCTAGTAAACTTTTCTTTAGATCTTTATATTTGTTTTAGTTGAAAGAAAGATTTGTTTTCTTCGTTCTCTTCGGGATTACATTTAAAGATATATAGTATCCTAATTGTGTAAACTTTCACAACAAGTGCTTACCTTTTATATTTACTTTGGAAATTGCCTACATAGATGTAACATATTATGCATGTGTAGTCGTGTAGTCATACTGGAATTGACTCTCCACGCATGTTACCGAATACCGATAGCATCGAATTGTTGTCAATAGCAAAAGAACTTCACCATTCGGCAATTCCACATAATCCACTTACATGTTATTTCTTTTATTTGCTATCACATATTATAACCAATTTAATAAACTATAATTGTAATTTACAAACTAGTAGTTATTTTTATCCATTAATTCAATTAACCATACACCAGTATACCTTCTTAGCTACAACAAAATGTCAAGTTTCTAAAACAAAATAACACAGTTTTTAATATCATGACGTCAGTTGTTAATTGTACCTATGCTCTAATTTGACAAAAGTAAACAAATTCAATTAGCTATAACTATCCAAGTTCAATAAGCAGGCAGACAGATTACGGTAATGAAGTAATTGTATTATGCAACTGCCATTTTAACGTCATCCACCGGTGATTGCTAATTCTTTTTTCCATCGATCATTCGACACCGTAAGACGGCGACGGCGCAGGAACCGTTACTAACATGAGCCCGTGCAGGTACATGGTAACTCACCTTAGTATTCCCACTAACTAGTGTTTGGCACGATTCTTGACACAATGGTGGCTCCGACCGTAATGTAAACTCCACGTTCGTACCGCCCGCCACATTATCACGGATTAGGTTACAGACACAAGCTGGAATACAATCATCTGTAGCTTCAAATGTTACTATTGCAGTTTCGATCGTTGAGTACCGATCATCTCGACGTAAGGGCACGCGCACTACCTACTTTGAGTGCACGATTTCACGATTAGCCACTTAGATATCAGCTACCGGCTACGGGTATTGTGAAACTGCTAACCGTATACAAAAATGCATCATAATGTTTATATCACATGGAAGTTTTATTGACCGACTATTCTATTCTGCACATTATTTTACCATAAATATAAAGATTTATTTACTTGCAATGAACATTGCCTATAAGTATTCAAAATGGACTTTAGATTTACATTGCTGACGATCCTTTTTCTCTGGGATCTTCGATCAACAGTACTTTTCTAGTGTTGTAGATATTCTGAGATATATTCTTCCAAATTACACCAAAAATATTTATTTCAAATTGGGTTGCACTTTTTTATCATATGATTATTCTTTCTGGTGCAATATATATATATATATATAGTTTCATTGACATTGATACAAAAGCCCGAGGCGTAGGAAACTCGTAGCGAAATCAATGCGCGCACGCACCTGCTCGACAAACCGGCAGACGCAACTATAACGCTGCTATTACCAGCGAAACTGAAATTCCAAATAGGAACTGCCAAATTATAGAAGACCTCCTTCCTTAATATCATATAGCAATAAATTTAAGAAAAAGTTGCTCTTTTTTTTATTCGAAAGTGAGAACTCGGAGGCATAGATATATATAAATATATATATAAATAATGATAGATTTTTATTCTTTAATGTATTTTTGTTTTTTGTGGAGGCTCTTATTCCTTTTCCTATCTTATTGTTTTCTCTTTACCAGAATTTATTACCTGAATAAGTTGAAATTACTTCGCTTTAAGGTGCAAGGTTGCCCTCCTTATGTTATTCTGCCACGCTTGAGTAAATCCCAAAATCCCCGCTTGGGCTCCGCTACTATAAGAATATAAATTTATTCAGCATAAATAATACAAAAATTTTAGCTTAAAAATATAGAGCCATTTCAGCGAGACCAAATAGACAGAGGGTACACCAAATTTTATTATTTGTTATGGAAATTAAATAGCACACTGCTTGTAAACATGTTCGACATACAAATTGAGAAAAAAATAGCAAAATTGAGATCTAGAGCACTCAGCTACGTGCAACAAATGCGTATTCGTGATGTTGTGTGGCTGGTCGCTCACTTAAATAGATATGATAGCGAATAAAACTATTTTTATTCATATTTTCAAAGTCATGATATATTGAGTTTGGTATTTTACTTATTTCTAGGAATATGTGAAAGACCACAAATACGTTTTATATAAAAACAAGTAGGTAAGTACATATTTTCAATTTATTCGTGAATTGAATGAATGAAAGATCAAATACAATGCGTATTACGTAACACATTATTTATTCAGTTGACTTGTTAATCCACATTTAACTTCGTATGTTCATAGTATGTAATAGTGACTACATACCATGAAAAAAAATACAAAAACAAACATAATTTTATGTTTAAATGTTGTCTTCTTAAAAAATATTTTTTAACTATTCACTTTGGCACGTTCTTATACAGGCTTTGTGTATACACAAGAATGCAATTTTTAACGTTAACTATTTGTAGTTTGTAGTTAACAATAAAAAGCATTTCATCCGCAAGCTAAAGGCAAACTATCAACGTCTTTATATTAAAGCATTCGTTTCTATATGAAGGCATGAAGAGTGTACCTACACACAATAACTTGGTATGAAATTGCAGTCTCTCAGTGAACTACCAATACTTATTCAAATTGAATACATCAAATCTTGGGACATAACTTTCTCCTTTCCAAGATGCCGCTAAGCAAACAGTTCTCTCAATTAATGGACTCAAGTTTTTAATGTGAACTATCTTACGTTAAAAACTCAAGTGGATAGAGAAAATACACAGATAAAGTAAGGGCACCGATAATGAAGCAAAGATTTACTTTCGGTCCGGGCGAAACACTTTGCTGGAGCTATGCCAAAAACCAATCTGCTTCATACAAACACTTGCTATTGGAACTACCTACATAAAAGTACATAATGTTATTTAGAATTTTTGAAGATATTTTAAAAGACGGTTTATTAATAATGGGGAACTAGAATGCGTTTTTTTTTTTAATTCTTA